GAGGGGGGGGGAGGAGGAGGAGGATGCCGCGGGAGAAAAGGACTGCACACAGTCTCCACCCGTCTTTCCACATCTAAAGACTCTGCCCTAACCCCCTCCCCCATCCTCACCTTGCAAAACCACTCGATCATGTCGTTTGACACCTGAGGAAATCTTCACAACCACAGGATCGCCCTCCTTCACCACCTCCAGCGAAAACTCCCTCGTCCCTCTGTTCCCTCCTCCCCCTCCTCCCGTGTTCCGGATAGCAACGGCATAGACTGAGAGCAAGTCAGGAGCAGGAGGAGACAAGAAGAATCTCACTGTCTCTCTTGCTCCCGAGGTCGACAACGAACTCCCCTCCTTGACCGTCCGACAGCAGCCAACAGTGCCCCGGGCCATCACTGCCAGCATGGTAAGCAGAACGAACGACAGCGGGCGGGAGGATAACCTGCCGTCGTCGTCGAGCAAGTGACTCACGTGATCCTTACACTTGGATGGTTTCTGCACGAGGATCATGAGGAGCGAGGCGGGAGAGAGAAGCATCAAGGGTGGGGACAGGGAGGGTGGGAGAACGAACAAGAGCATCTGATCCACAAGACAAGACAAGACAAGACAAGACAAGACAAGACAAGACAAGACAAGTAGCCAGTTCAAGGAGCACAACAGACTTTCCTTCACATTCTGATGCTGAAAACTAACGAAAGCAAGCAATAAACACAGACAGAAAACAAAGTTTTTACATGCGCTGGAGGAGATTTCCGCCTGTATCCCCTTCCCATCCCAACCCGCTGCATGTACTCCGTGTATCCCCTGCGTCTCCCGGTCACCTTAGAGGAACAGCAGGAACGCAGCTCGCCAGGTCTTCCGACTCATCACGTTGGTTGGAGTGTCTCGATGCCCGCTGAGCGTGCGATCCTGAAAGTCTTTCAACGGGGAAGACAGAAGACGATGCGGGAGGGAAAGAAGGAGGAGGAGGAGTGGAGGAGGAGGAGGAAGGAGGAGGAGGAGGGGGAAGGAAGGAGGAGGAGGAGGGGGAAGGAGGAGGAGGAGTGGAGGAGGAGGAAGGAGGAGGACTGGAGGAGGGGAAAGGAGAAGAATGAGGGGAGGAGAGTTTACCTGGGAGTGGATGGAGATGATCGGCAGTACCTGTCAGCGCATCGTCACTTGAAAGGGAAGGCTATGTTATGATTGCACCACATACGATCCCTTGAGGCTACGAGAGCTCCTCCCATGCGCCCTCGCCTGCTGCCATCAGGCTGTCAGAAACACCTTGACCCTCTCACTTCCCTCTCCTCCTCCTCCTCCTCCTCCTCCTCCTCCTCCTCCTCCTCTTCCTCCTCCTCCTCCTCCTCCTCCTCCTCCTCCTCCTCCTCCTCCTCCTCCTCCTCCTCCTCCTCCTCCTATCTCTACTCGTGTTACCCGCTTCTCCTGCTCCATCAGAAACTTCTCGAACGCTTGGCTCTGCTGGCAAAGTCAGCCACCCTCCGGCAAGAGGAGCAAGGCACTGGGATCTGCATGGTGTTGGACAAGACTCTGAAGATCTCGATGATCGCCTGCAGCACAAGACGAACAAACTTGTGGAGGAGGAGGAGAACTCTCGTGCTCCTGTACCGACTCTCAGCTCCCAACCGCGCATGGCTATCTTCACCTCGAGGGGTCATGGCGTCGAGGAGACGAGAAGTCTTGGAGAAGGTCGGACGGGACCTTCCTGTAGTGAGTGATCCCATACTCATCCATCTGCTCCATCCGTCAGATGAGCACAGTCCCATCGCGCGCGTACGTAGAGGTCAGAATGTACGTAGGCGGCGGGGCTAATGCGTATGAACTGCTTCCTGTCCTCGTTGCTGGGTGACGGATTCTTCCCATCAACAGCGAGACTTTCATGGCTGTGGTGAACGAGCTTTCGGAGCGCTCCAAGAGCGCTGACCAGCATAGAGGGCGAGGATCCGGCCTCGCTGGAGAGGAGGCGGGCAGGTGGGGAGACGAGCGAAGAGGCTTGGCTGCAGCAGAGGAGGAAGACAAGGAACAGGAAGGCAGGTCTCATCGATACGATCTTGATATATCAAGACTCTCCTCCTCTCCTCTCTCCTCCTCCTCCTCCCTTCCTTCCTCCTCAACCTCAAGCTCGATCTCCCGCTCCCTCCATCGCCATGGCCTCCGGTTTCCAGGTCCGCCCCAGTCCATGCGAGAGGACAGCAAGCTCGACCGGGCCTCAGTCAGTATCCCACGTTTAACTGCCCCACTCTGTGACGATCCGACTAGTCGAACTTTAGTAGGCTCTTGGAAGGCGGATCACTTTGTTGATGTTGATAACAATAATGACGTTAAGGGGTAGGCCGCAATCTCGCAGCACTCAGGGCAACGAGAAGGAGAGCTGGACGGGCAGCGTGTGAGGGAACGAGTGAGAAACTTCGACACTCGTTGCCTTCACTTGCACGCATGGTTCAGCAGCACCTGTACCAGCATCGCATTGGTTGCTTTGCCATAGTGGATCGAGTCGACGCTGTCCTGCATCCTCATCGTCGTCATCCAGAACGTGTCAAAGATCCTCACGTTGGAGCTGGGGGAGAAAATCGACTTGGCTCGCTCATTGAAGAGCAGGACCAGGTCGTTGTTCTGCCATGCGTAGTCGGGCGGCTTCAAGTCCTCGTTTTGAGCCGAGGGGAGGACGAAGACGATGGGAATAGTCCGAAGGTATCGATCCCCCTCAAAGATTACCCTCAGGGTATCGAACCACGAGCTGAACCCGGCTGAGCACAGACACTCCTCGGGGCACGCTGCATCAGTTCCTGCCACCCTCACCGCATTCAGCTCGTGGTTCCCCACCCCAAGCACGATGAGCGAGGGAGCCCCCGGACCGTCCAGCATGCGGTAGACCTCTCTGCGCAGCAGGAGGAGTGAGGGAACGGCCTAAGTTGACTCCAGAGACTCACTGGAGGAAGAGATTGCGATGAATGAAGCGCCACATCCCGTAGTAGAGGAGCCTCCCTCCCTCCCCGATATTGAAACTCGTCTTGATCTGCCGCAAAAACGTCCATCCCTGTCACTGGAGAGCCGGAATTCTTACCTTCCCCTCGCAGAAGAGATGATTCCTGCCACCAGATCAGCGTGACTTCGCCCCGAGGCGCTCTCAGGCGCACATGTATCTGAGTTTCCTCGAGCATTTCGTCCTGATCTCTTCGATCTCCTGCCCAACAAGTCAAGCCCAAGACCATCCAGGGTCGCAAGGCTGCATCAGGGTACCTCGGGCGAGTATGCTTCGTCCTCCAGCGTCAGCAGGTCTCCATCTCTGCCGCGAGATCAGCCCACCCGCCTCCTTCCTCGACATCGGGTACCTCGCATGCTCTATGATGCTCGAGTTACGACTGGGTGAGGGCAGTCACGTGCTCTCCTTGAGCGAGGGGAGGGAGAAGGACCTGTCGTCCTCGAGGCAGGTACTTGCAAGGCTAACGAACAGGTGGCGGACCAACGAGTCTCCCTGGCCTTGGGGATGAGGAGCAGACCCATGTGCAAGCAGCAGGTTCAACCGCAAAGAGCACGGTCTTGTGCCGGAAGCATGACAGAACCTCCTCCTGCACTCTATAGCTCAGTGGGCCTCGCAGACCGGCACAGCGACAGGGTCGACCTTGCGATATCGAGAAAGCTTGCAGTCATTCGGGAAGTACCAATCGTTCTTCCAGCGTCTTCAGGACAGTGAGCGAGAGCTGGACGATCAGCACAAGCTCATCGCTCACCCGCCATCCTCCCTCGATGCCGCCGCGATAGGATCCTACGGCACCCGATCACCGTGAGCGGGATATGCAGTGAATCCTTCGCTCGCACATGTACAGACAAACAAGGCAACACAAGATGTTGTCATCCAGTCTACCTGGCATGTCGTCAAACCCTCCCTGTCGTCTGAAACAAACTTGTCCGTCGATTTCGCTCCACCGCTCGGATCCGGAATAACCAAAAACATTACCTCGCTCGACTCGAACGTCGTCCCCGAACTTCCAGGCAAGATGGTGCGCAAGCTCAGCACCTTACTTCCAGCACTGACAGGATAAAGTAGCACCGAGGATCGCTCCCCTGGTTGCATGTCGGAGCTGAGGACAAGGTCCCCATCCAGGTAAAGTGCGGTCTTGCACGCTGTAGAAGCTGAGAACACAACAGAGACGTTGCTACCCTCCAGGAAGGTGGAACCATTCACAGGCTCCAGGAAAGACACGGTCTGCCCCCTTGCTGCAGCTAGCAGCAGCAGCAGCGGCAGCAGCGCCTTCCCCCTCCCCCCCTCCCTCCCTGTCACCATTTTATCATCCCCGATTCACAAACCCCATGACCCCCCCACCCCCCAGTATCTCAGACTTTTGTACCCCTTCATCATGGATTGCTTCAGCACGTGTACCCCTGCTTTCTACTGCATTATTACCCCTCCTATTCGATAGTGGATGAGGGTGAAAATGTGATCGGTATGAGGGGCCCATTGAGTCTGCAATGTCAGTGCGGGGATGAGGTTTCATCAGTCTGCGGAGGGATGAGGCTGTAAATCAATTTTTTTTTCGTCCCCCGATTTCATGAAGCACCCTACCCCATGATATTGTCATTTTAGGCCACATATTGTTTAAATAAGTAGTATATTGATTATTTGAGCCAAGTTTGTTGTGTTTAGCCTCATTTATGCTTATTTTAGCTACATATTCTACACCACCCTTTGTACAATTCAACATAAAACTGCTTTTTAAAAATGTTATTTGTTTTATTTTTAGTTGTATTGGTACCTTAATTTTGTACTGACAGAGTAATTATAAAACTTCCATTTTATATTGAGTCTTTACTTCAGTGGTTCCTTGCAAGGGAATTCTTCCGTGGGATCTATAAAATTTGCTTAAATTTGATAAAAATAGTGCTCAAATACATAAATATTTGAAATTATTGAACACATTTTCAAGATTAAATCCAGACTCTACCAAATGATCCCACCCCATCGAGAGTTCTCTTGGGAACACTGGCAAAACTTGGGGGTGCCTAATTTTGAGTAGGGGTGATGATGGTTCAAGTGGTTGGGAAATGTGAAATTGGGTAGGGTACATCATGGGTCGTAATGGTACAGATTGATGTCAAAGTGTGGGTTCTTTGAGCAGGGGTAGTCAATGAAACGGGTGGGGTCCTGTTGAGGCAGGGTTTCAGAGCAGGGGTAGAAATTTGGGGGTTGGGCTTCATCGATGCATCAATAGCAGATTTGGTTGACGTGTGAAAGAGAAGAAGAAGAAGAAGAAGAAGAAGAAGAAGAACAAGAAGAACAAGAAGAACAAGAAGAAGAAGAACCAGAAGAACAAGAAGAACCAGAAGAACAAGAAGAACCAGAAGAACACGAGAAGAAGTGCTTTAATATCAAGCAGCGTTCCTTGCAGCAAATCCTACTGGCGAATTGGCATTCTTGGCCGTTATCCAATCTGGGGTGAAGACCAGCGTCATGTTCTGACTCCAGAGTGTAATGTGGCGATTTGGATCAAGTGCTCGTACACAAAACGCTATCAGATAGTTGAATCTAGTTGGAGAGATTTTAGTCTTCCGGCAGAGTATGGTTGTGTCATGGAGGGACTTCCCGTTTCTCATTTGTGCATTGTATAGTATTCTACCTTCCACATGGGGTTTCATGCCTGGTCTGCGAGGTGATATGGTCACAGTGATGAGGAGGTTCCAGCCGGACGCTTGCAAGATCAACATAAAGCCTAGAATGTTCTCTGAGGGCTCGTCACCGAGAGACGGCGCGGGTTCCCTCGTCCGCCTGAAGAAGGACGAGTTTGATCTGAAGCGTCTGAAGAAGGACGAGTTTGATCTGAAGCGTCTGAAGAAGGACGAGTTTGATCTGAAGCGTCTGAAGAAGGCTGAAGGAAAGGAAGAATGTAGTGCACTGCTCGAGGTGAACAGCAAGGAGCACAGTCGCTCGCATGCTCAGGGAGAGGAGACGCCTCTGAGCAAGAGGGAGCGCGTGACCTTGAAACTCATCCGACGGGACCTGACCAGGCTGGGGCTGATGTTCACGAGGGCAAAGAAGGTGGAGGAGAAGGTTGAGGCGAAGGTGGGCAAGCAGAACACGGAGGGTCTGGTCGAGGAGATCAACAACTACATCTGGGAGCAGGCGGTCGATCTTCTGGACAAGCCCATTGCACACTCGGCAGTGAAGCTTTTCCATCAGAGTCTTACAATGCTGGAGAAGCTTCAGGCCCCCATGTACAGCCTGGCGAACAGGATTTCACATTTGAAGCAGTTCTCCTACTTGATGAATCAACCGAAACTTGTGACCATCGGGATCGACAAGCTCCACCACTTCTTGCTGGATGGATCGCTCTTGAACGTCTTGACGCACCTCTTCCATAGATAGCACGTTCCTGTTGTGTAACATGTCGACTATGTCAAATCAGCTCTGTTTGTACTCTGTCTTACAGTCATCTACTATTTGTACATATCAACACCTCTAGTTTACACTGATACCCATCCCCGCCCCTGTCTTCTATCGCTGCACTTCCACCGCCCTCGCATCTTGTCGGGAGGGCCTACAAACTCCCCCGGCAAACTGAACGTCCTTGGCTCGATGGGGAGGCGAGACTGACAGGAACACCAGCTGTCCCTCCTCGCACGAAGCCTCCACAACAGTGTTCCTTCTCGCATGCAGTCTGAAGTGAACGCTCCACCCCCGCGGCCATGTCGGGAAGAGAAGTATCTTGTCTCCTGCAAACTAGGAGCGGGAGGGTGAGTTCAAGATTGATTAGGAAGAACGTTGGCGATAGAGACCGAGGGCGTGCATAGGAAGGAAGGCAGAGGAAGGGGGAAGAGGAAGAACTGAGTAGGAAGAAGTGAAGGAGAGGAGGGCAGTCGCAGCTGAGGAGAGCACGCAAGTACCTGGATAAGCATCCGCTGCAAGGCGAGCTTGGCAACGACCCCATGGTCAACCTCGGGGGTAAAGTCAAAGTGCTGGAGCCAGAAGCCGGGGAAGCGCAAGGAGGGAGCTCGGGCCCTGTCGACTAGCATAGCGGCAGACTCGTTGACGAGTCCGAGGAGGGCGGCCTGGACTATGTCCTGACACCAGCCGACGTTGCATGCGACCTTCCTGTGGCGGTAGGAGGAGGAGGCGACCTCTAGCGAGATGTTCTGCCATGTTGGTTGAGACCTCCCGAAGACGGGGAAGGGGAAGATGCCGTACAGCTCTGGGTTCTCGATGTTCTCCCGCCTGTCCCTCCAGACCTCCGCCGGGAGGATGCGCTCCGAGCCGTCGGGGGCAGCAGCTTCGCCTCCCTCCCGCAGGCACGCGAGGGTATCCTCCTTCAGTATCTGAGCTGATCGCGTGCATTGCCTGCTGCTTCCTAGCAGGCCCGTCGGGATCCTGGGGATTTTAGAGGAGAAAGCTTGCAAGGTAGCACGAACACTGGCTGGGAGGAATGAGGGAGGGAGGGACAACAGCTCCTGCACCACGTGCACAAGGCCGGCAACATCGGGGAGCGGATTGATCGCCTCCTGCAGCGTCTCCAAGCACTGGGAGGGAGCAAGCACAAGCTTCCCCTCCCGATCGACCTGGAAGTGCTGCAGGTAAAAGGTCATCACTCCCTCCAACAGGGGGAGGAGGAGGCGTTCCAAGAAATCCCCAGCTGCCCTTGACGGGATGTCAAAGTATCGCATCCTCTCCAGCTGCATCGCCAGCAGCTCCACAGCCTGGGAGGTGGAGTGACGGACGTACGGGTTGCTCACGGCCCAGACGGGCTTGTCCCCCCGATCGCACCCGTACGTCTCTCCTGCATACCCTCCCCAGAACATCATCACCTCTGGGACGCGCACGCCACCATGCTGGAACCACCGCATGCTGCGAGCCTCGTGCAGCTTCAGGGACTTGTTGTACATGTTGAAGAACGGGTCCATGAGCGCAAAGTCTCCACTCTCCATCATGCTCCAGTAGATGAGCCGCGTGTTCTGAAACCAGAAGCCTCCTCCCCCCCACTCCCTGTAGTCCTCATCATAGCGATCGCTCCCTACGGTGAAAAGTCCTCCGTTGAACTTGATCGGGAACTCCCCTCGTCCTCCCGCCGCTATCATGAACCGCTCGAGAGCGAAAGCTCTGCTGACCAAAAACGCGTCATCGTTTGTTGCCTCCTTCTCTTGACCATCTTGACGGATGTCGATGAGCGACTTGCTCCAGAACTTCTCCCACCATCTCCTGTGATCGGCCATGGCAACTTCTCTCTGCCTCACCTTCGTGAGCTCGTCCAGCCACTGGTGGATCTCCGCGGCCCTCATGGTGACGGCTGAAACCACCAGCCGGTGCTCGTGGGCTGCCTCAACACTTTCCAGCACATGCGCTGTAGCCAAGTTCAGACCAACAGCAGGAGGAAAGAGACCAGGAGAGGTAAGAAGGAAGAGACGATGAGTGGTGAGGAGCAGCGAAGGGAGGAGAGAGGAGAGGAGAGGAGAGAAGGGGTGGAAAGGGGAGCGGAGCGGAGGGAAGAGAGGAGAGGAGAGATGGGAACACTGAAGGGGATCAAGGAAAGACGCATCAAAGTACCGCTCTTCTTCACCATCGGCCTGTACTCTGACCCATCAACGGTCCTCCCTTCAACGCTGCCGCCCGACGTGAGGAATCTCAAGGGATCCTCTCCTCCCCCGATTCCTTCGAGCGCTAGGCTGTGCTCGTAGCAGGTCTCGTTCCCATTCCGATGGTACCAGACAATGGCATTCGGATCTTCATACATAGAGTCCGGTCGGACAAGGTTCTCTCGGCAGTTACACCCGTACGCCCCTCCCTCCTCTCCCCGTCGGAACTTGCGACTCTCGTTCCTCCAGATCCGCAACGACGCTCGCACGTTGGTCTCGACAAGGTGCGACCTGACAGAGACTCGGAGCTTGTTGGTGTCTGCATGCACCCATAACTGTATCCTGACATCCTTGGTGGTGATAGAAATCGTGGCATTGGCGAGGTGCAAAGTCTGCTCAAACAGAACATCTCCTTTGTCCTGCTGTCTTGGATACACAGAGATTCTCAGCTCGCCCAACTTCAACAGCCTTGCTTCCTCGCTCCACGAGTCTGACTTGGCAAGAAGCACGACGACGTCCCCTGTTGCCGCCTCAGTCCAGACATTTGCTGCCAGATCCCCGTTGCCTAGCTGGAAGAGACCACGATCAGCTCTTTATGGTAGAGAGACGACAGAGCAAGTTCACCGGCATCGAGTCTTTGGATGAATTGGAGGGACTTCGCCAGGAAATGTCGTAGCGTCCATTCAAGACATCATTACCTTGCTTCGATGGTGCTCCAACACACACAGCACAAGGATGGATGAATGTCAGAACGACGACAACAAGAGAGCATGTCAAAATCCATAGGCGATGTGATGCCCGTCTGAAAGCTTGATTCATGCTCAAATCGGGTTTGTGTTGATTATTTCACTTGAATATCCACGGCGTGTCCATGTCTCATTTCTTCATCTTCTCTCCTCTCTCCTCTCTCCTCTCTCCTCCGCTCACCTTCTGTCCTCGTGCTGTCTTCCTCCCTCCCTCCCTCCCTCCCTCCCTCCCTCCCTCCCTCCCTCCCTCCCTCCCTCCCTCCCGCTGACTTCAACTCGCGCTTCACTATGTCGCACTTTCCAGCATCTGAATTGGATTTTCCTAGATTGGTCTGTGGGTAGGGTAGTTGATTGGATAAAGGGGGTATTTTCAATAGAGAAATAGGGGTACATAGTGGGTCATTTCCAAGAGACTTAATAAAGACAGGGGTGGGGTAGTCAGTATGATTTTTTTCGTACACTGAGCTCTCAAGAATGGAAGAATGGCAGTCAGCGGTTGATCCGAAGACCGGTGAGAGGAGGAGAGGAGGAGAGGAGAGGGAGAGGAGGAGAGGGAGAGGAGGAGAGTAAGATTGGGAGGAAGTGGAAGCAGAGAGGAGGAGACCTTGTGAAGGAAAGAGTAACTCGAGTGTCGAGAGAAGCTGTTGTGAAAGTTTCGAATACGATTGAATTCCAACAGAAGAAAACAAAGATGGATCGAGAGGAGGGATCTAAATCGAGCAGAGCAAAGAAGAGCCTTCCTATGAGGAGAGGAGGTGGGAACAGAGTCAGGCAGGACCTGGGTTGGAGAGGAAACCTAGGAAAAGAAGAATGGAAGCGCGCCATAGAGTGGGCGGGACGGGGGGCGGGAATGATTGAGTGAGCAGGAAGGACGTACTACATCAATCACAGGACAAGACAGACATCATGGTATCCTCCCTCAGCCATGGTGACACAGAGTCTCTGCTGTGCATCAGTGCGTGACTGTGAAAATCGGCAGCCTCAGCAAACTGTTTCAAATTCTGCTCCTCTAGATCCGGTCCCCCGCCCCTCCCTCCTTCTTCCCTCTCCTCCCTCTCCCCTCACCACGATCTCCTCCCCACTCCGCGCTCAACTCCTTCCCCCCTGCTTCCCACATCCTTTCCCCTCTCCTCCTTTGCTCATGTTGAGTTCCTACCAGCGGTATGATTGCCTTCCTGAGGGGTGGGAGCGTCGGGTCGACCCAGCATCGGGGAGGAATTACTACGTCGATCATCGCACGAAGACCTCTCACTGGTCCATCCCCTCCTACCTCCTAACGCGCACGTCTGCCTCCTCCCAACCACCAGGTACAATACCCTCTTCCTTCTCTCCTCTCCCTTCCCCCCTGTTTCCCTCCTGGATCCACCTTCTTCCCTCCTTCACCTTCCTCCCATCCTCCTTCTCCCTCCCTTCCTCCTTCTCCCTCCCCTCCTCCTTCTGCCTCCCCTCCTCCTCATCCTTCCCCCCCCTCCCTTCTCTCTTCCGCTGCCCCTTCCTCTCCTCTCTTCTCCTTCCTTTCTCCTTCTCCTCTCCTCCCTTCCCATCCCCCATCTCGTCTCCATCCCCCTCCTCCATCATACGTCTGTGTGCCAACGTGCACATGCTCTTCAGCTACCAGCACGCTTTCTCGTGCCCCAAGCTACATGCGGCCAGCTCAGACTGGTGCGGCGGGAGCAGGGGATGTGCAGCCCTCAGCGCCTCCTCTTGAGGAAGAGGTGAGGAGAGAGGAAGAGAGGAAGAGGAGAGGAGATAGGGGGAGGGGAGGAAAGAGGAGGAGGCGAGGAGGAGAGGAGGGAGAAAGAGGAGAGAAGAAGAGAGGAGGGTTGGAGGTTGGTGCGATGCTGACAGTGCTTATCCAGCTCCAAAGCTCTTCTATCGCTCAGTCACGGATTGACATGCGCAGAATGTACAGCTTGAAGAATTTCTGCCCGGCAAACACTCCAGCTGCTCAACAGCTCGCACTTAAGGTTGGGAAAGCACGATGATGATGATTATGATGATGATGATATTGTTGTTGTTGATGATGATGATTATGAAGATGACATTTGTTGTGCAGTTTGCAGAGTGCGTTGTTTGTTTCGACGATATGCACAAGGAGGCTTGCTCTGTCTTCTTGAAGAACAGCAAGAGGATCTGCCCCCATTTCTTGCACTACAGGTCGGAACTTCACATCCCTGCCTCGGTGGCGATATTGACAAGCATTTGTCAGGTGTGCTTGCGACGTTATGAACTCTAGCAGGTGTGCGTTAGATTTCTTTCTCCTTCCGAACCACCGAGAACGGCACAGGGGAGGGAAGCATTGCCCTGTCTGCAGACGCTCCTTCGATAGTGTTCGGCAGGTTGCACTCCGATCTCTTGTTCGTTGCTTCTCTCGCCGTTCAGTCCGACCCTCTCTCCTCCTCCTCCTCCTCCTCCTCCTCCTTTTCCTTCTCTCTGACGGTGCCCCACTGGCAGGTTCCAAGCATCGACGAGGACCCTGAGGGATGGTTCGAGGCTGTGGACCTCTCAGGTACAATCCTCCCCCTCAAACACTGCCTCCTCCTCCTGCCACCCCACAACCCCCCACTACCCGCCCCCATCTCCTCTTCCTCCTTCTCCTCGTCGTCATCATCTTCTGTTGTCCCCCCTTCCGCGAATCTTGTGCGTAAAGTAAGAGCAGGGGAGGGAACTCTCAATCAACGCGAAGTGCTCGAGGTAGAGGAGGATGAAATGTTTACACCCGTCTCTGACATCTCCTTCCTTCAATCCCCCTTTCCCCCGCCCTCCTCCCTCCCAACTCTCTCGCTCTCTCTCCTCCTTTCTCCATCTCTCTTCCTCCCCTTGCAGGTCCTCAAGGCTCAGCTACCCCTTGATGCGCAACGTCTGGAAGAGGTCGAGACCCTGTGGAAGAAGAGGAGGAATGAAGGGGAGGAAGAAGGAGGAGGAGGGAGGAGGAGGAAGGGGTGGAAGGAGGAGGAGGAGGGGGGGCGTAGTGGGGGGAGGAGGTGGAGTGAGAGGAAAGGTCAGGGTCTGCCGGAGCTCTGGAGGAACTGGGATCGTGCA